TGGCTGATCCTGCATCTGTCAACCACCTATACACTATTCATGAAATTTAAAATGTACTGCAGACATACATTTTAAAATTCAAATACATTTTTTAAAAATAATATTATTGAATCCTAAAAAAATAAAAAAATAGTTAGGTGAGAATCCCCTCTGTAATATTATGGAACTGTCTGTGAGTTTATGTCCCTTCCTGACCAGGCCATTTTTTGCGTTACGGCACTGCAGTACTTTAACTGACAATTGTGCGGTCATGCAACACTGCACCCATATGAAATTGTAGTCCTTATTTACCATGAATTGAGCTTTCATTTGGTGGTATTGGATTGCCTGTGTGTATTTTATTTTTTGAGCTATAACAAAAAAAAACTACTATTTTGAGGAAACAAAAACATTTACTAGACTATTTGTTATTAAACATGTCCATTAAAAAAATTTAAAAAATTAAAAATGTCAACATAAATTTAGACAAAAATGTATTCTGCTGCATGTCTTTGTGAAAAAAAATCACAATACGTGTTAGTTAATTGGTTTACTTGAAAGTTATAGTGTTTACAAATGGTGGTATATATATCGTGGGATTTTTTTATTTTTAAAAGTAATAGCAGCGGGACTGCGGAGGACATTCTGACACTGGGGGGGAAACTGACTTGGTGTCACTGACATCCCCAATGACATTAATATAGTGATCAGTGGTAAAAAAAAAAGCCCTGACACTATAATAATGAAACTGGCCAGGAAGAGGTTAACATGAGGGGCGATCAAAGAGTTAACTGTGTGCTGTGTGTGTTTTACTAGGAGGCCATGTGTTTGTGTTTCACTGTAATCACATTGCTTTGCATGCCTTTGCTTTGCAAGCTATCCAAAGCAGTATGCATGAGCTGACAGGGAGGGAGAAATGTTTTGTTAATAGCAGTTCTCCTCCCCGTCGTAAATGTTCACCGGACGTTGGCAAGTAATCACACGCCGCGACCCGGTGATTGGCAGACGCGATCCCCTACCCGGAAATAAAAAATTGCGTAGATATATGTGATTGTGCGCAACTGTGCAGTCCTGTAGCAATATTTCTGCTACAGGGCGGTCGGAAAGCATTTGATTAAAAAAAAACCATATATATATATATATATATATATATATATATATATATATATATACAGGAATTATACAAAAAATATGAAACGCCACATGATTTGCAGGTGAGAAAGTGACAACATATTTTATATGTGTGTGTGTATATATATATATATATATATATATATATATATATATATATATATATAGCTGTTTTCACTTCAATCAATTGTTGTGCTTGCAAAAAAATGTTTATTTATTTTATTCCCCTAATGTGATTTTTTGTTGAGCAGTGTATTTGAAATGAACGTACAGTAAGTTTACATTATTTACGATTATTCACTCTGCAAAGAGAATATATACTTTTGAAAGTGGGCATTCACTTTGCTACCTAAAGAGTCTCTTCTCCTTTAGTAAATCAACCTGAATGGATAGCTTTTGTGGATTTATTCTTATTATTATTATTATTATTAGACAGGATTTATATAGTGCCAACAGTTTGTGCAGCTCTTTACAAAGTAAAGGCAGACATTACAGTTACAATACAATTTGGTACAAAAGGAATCAGAGGGCCCTGCTCCTTTAAAACTTATATTCTAAGAGCAAGGGTCAAGTGATACAAAAGGTAATAGCTGTGGGGGATGAGCTGATGGACAAAGTAAAAGGACAAAGTAAAAAAACAGTGCATTAGTTAAAAGTAGGAAAGACTTCTTTAAAGAGAAGGGTTTTCAGGAATCATCTAAAGGTGGATAGATTAGGAGATAGTTGGACAGATTGTGGTAGGGAGTTCCACAGGATGGGAGAAGCTCAGGAGAAGTCCTGGAGGTGAGCATGGGAGGAGGTGACATGGAAACTAGAGAGCAGGAGATCTTGGGAGGACTGAAGAGAGTGGTTTGGTTGGTATTTTGAAACCAGGTTAGTGATGTAGCTGGGGGCCAAGTTGTGGATGGCTTTGTAAGTTGTTGTTAGTATCTTGAATTTTATTCATTGGGTGAGTGGAAGCCAGTGGAGGGATTGGCAGAGAGGGGTGGCAGACACTGAATGGCTGGTAAGGTGGATGAGCTTGGAAGCAGATTTCATGACAGACTGAAAGGGGGACAGGCCTATATAAAGGTAAGCCAATGAGGAGGGAGTTGCAGTAGTCGAGGCGAGAGATAATCCGGGAGTGAATTAGAAGCTATATAGTGTCATTGGTTAAGAAGGGGCATATTCTGTAGATGTTGCGGATATTGAGGTGGCATGATTTAGACAGGGATTGGATGTGGGCCTGAAAGGACAGTTCATAATCCAGGGTTACACCTAGCACCCTGGCATGTGGGGGGGTTGATAGTTGTGCTATTGATCTTGACTGAGAACTCAGGGGAAGGGGCATGTAGGGGAAAAAATATTATGAGCTCGGTTTTGGATAGATTAAGTTTGAGGAAGTGGTATGACATCCAGTCTGATATGTCTGTTAGTAAATCAGTGATATGTGAGGAAATTGATGGGGTGAGCTGAGGAGTAGAGAGATAGATTTGTGTGTCATCAGCATAGAAATGATATTGAAAACCATGGGAAGCTATCAGCTGACCCAGGGAAGAGGTGTAGATCGAGATAGGAGAGGTCCAAGGACAGAACTAATGGTAAGAGGAATAGTAGAGGAGGAAGTAGAGTTGTAAGTGACACTGAAGGTGTGGTGAGATAGATAAGATGCAAACCAACAGAGAGTACAGTCATGGAGGCCAAGGAAATAGAGTTTTTTGAGGAGGAGGCAGGGGCATATCTGCCGCAAGGTAAACAAGGCATTTGCCTAGGGCAGCAGTTTTCAGGGGTGGCACCGCCCTCAGGCAGAAGGGACAAGGGACCAGTGCTTGGCAGGTTGGGAGAGCTTGGCATTAAACGGGCGGGAGGCAGGGTTTTAGGCAGGGAGACGGGCTCAGCAAGTCTTGAGCAGGGGAAGGTGGGTTCGGCTTATGCCATCGTGAGTTAATGGCAAGCCAGCTGTCTTACCCTCTCTGTGCGTTCCCGGAGCGCTGATTCTCTGCTGCACCCACTGACTTTGTTAAGTTCCAGCAGGAAGCCCAGGCCCGGACTGACCATCGCAGCTGTGATCTGCCCACCCGGGCTCTCTGCAGCCATCTATTCCATTCACTGCATAGGGCCAGAGAGCGGAGCCTAGAGGTCAGCTGACCGTGAAGCGGGGGTGCAGAAGAGGAGTCCTTCGCTCCATGTTAGGTATCAGTGCAGCTGCAGACACCACGGACCCCAGATAAGTGCTCCTTTACTTGTCAAATAGAGTCTCCCTCTCTCTTCTCCCCCTCTCTCTCTCTCTCTCTCTCTCACCTCCCCTCTCTCTCTCCCCCCTCTCTCTCTCCCCCCCCACTTCTCTTTCCCCCTCTCACTCTCTCTTCTCCCCCTCCCTCTCTCCCTTCTCCCCCTCCCTCTCTCTCTCCCCCCTCTCTCTTCTTCTCCCCCCTTCTCTTCTTCTCCGCCCTCTCTCTCTTCTTCTCCCCCCTCTCTCTCTCTCTTCTCCCCCCTCTCTTTCTTCTTCTCCCTCCTCTATCTTCTTCTTCCCCCCTCTCTCTCTCCCCCCCTCTCTCTCTTCCCCCCCCTCTCTGCCCACCTCCCCTCCCCCCCCCCCCCCCCCTCTTTCTCTCCCCCCTCTCTCTCTTCTCCCCCCTCTCCCTCTCTCTCTTCTCCCCCCCCCTCTCTCTTCTCCCCCCTCTCTCTCTCCCTTTCTCTTTTCTCCCCCCTCTCTCTCCCTCTCTCTCTCTTCTCCCCCTCTCTCTCTCTCCCCCTCCTCTTACTCTCTTTTCCTCTCTATCTTTTTCTCTCTCATTTTGCACAAGATAAAAGTAATCTGGGGCTAACAAGCTGCTGGATTACTTTTACAAACGGCGGAAGGGCATCCCTCCCCCTCCTGCCACCGACGCCTTTACCAAGCTCTACCATGCAGTCTCAATGCAAACGATCAGAATGATCTGTGTCTGATCGCATGCATTGGGAGGTCAGAGGAGAGATTTGGGGTCTAATAGACCCTAGATATCTCCATAAACAGGAACTGTCATGGCCCATGCTATCACAAGGGATGTTGTTCATCCCTTGTAATAGAAATAACGCTGATCAAAAAATAAAGCTAAAGGTACAGTGTACAAAAAAAAATTAAATAAAGAAATATTAAAATAGAAGAAAAAAAATTAAAGCACCCCGTTACCCCATGCTCACATGCACATAGGTCCCTCACTCATATGTAAATGGAGATTGCACCACACATGTGAGGTACTGCCATGAATGTCAGAGTGAGAGCAAAAATTCTAGCACCAGGCCTCCTGTGTAACTCTAAACTGGTAATTTGTAAAGGCTTTTAAAATGTTGCCTATGGAGATTTTTAGGTAGCATAATTTGGCACCAAATGGTATACCGTGGCTGGCGTGGGACAAATTCAGATGATGGGGGGCACCCGATTTTAGTCTTTGGGGGGGCGCCCAATTTTAGTCTTGCCTAGGGCAGCACAAAACCAAAATACATCACTGGGAGGTGGAGGTAGTCAATTGTGTCAAAGGCAGCGGAGAGGACCAAGTGTAAGCAGTGGTGTATTTTGGTTTTTGTGCTGCTCTAGGCAAGACTAAAATCGGGCACCCCCCGCATCTAAATTTGTCCCACTCCTTCCTGTTTAAGATCCACCCCTTCATTTGTAAACCCCACCCCTTCATATTTAGGCCACACTTCTTCCTATTAGAGCTCCACCCACTGACACTAACGATGGGGCGCTATTCCTCCCACTGACACCAGTGATGGGGCACTATTCTTCCCACTGACACCAACAATGGGGCACTATTCCTCCCACTGACACCAATGATGGGGGGTACTATTACTTCCACACTGACACCAGTGTGATGGGGCACTATTCCTCCCACACTGACACCAATGATTGGGCACTATTCCTCCCACACTGGCACTAATGATGGGGCACTATTCCTCCCACTGACACCAATGATGGGGCATTATTCCTCCCACACTGGCACTAATGATGGGGCACTATTCCTCCCACGCTGGCACTAATGATGGGGCACTATTCCTCCCACTGACACTAATGATGGTGCACTATTCCTCCCCACTGACACCAATGATGGGGCACTATTCCTCCCACTGACACAAAGGATGGTGCCCCATCATTGGTGTCAGTGGGAGGAATAGTGTCCCATCGTTAGTATCAGTGGGAGGAATAGTGCCCCATCATTAGTGTCAGTGGGAGGAATAGTGCCACATCATTGGTCTCAGTGGGAGGAATAGTGCCCCATCATTGGTATCAGTGGGAGGAATAGTGTCCCATCATTAGTGTCAGTGGGAAGGAATAATGCCCCGTCATTGGTGTCAGTGGGAGGAATAGTGCCCCGTCATTGGTGTCAGTGGGAAGAATAACTCCCGTCATTGGTGTCAGTGGGAAGAATAGTGCCCCGTCATTGGTGTCAGTGTGGGAGGAATAGTGCCCCATCATTGATATCAGTGTGTGGGGGTGGATAGTGCCCCATCATTGGTGTCAGTGGGGGGGGATAGTGCTCTATAGTTGGTGTCAGTGTGGGGGGGGAATAGTGCCCCATCGTTGGTGTCAGTGAGGGGAGGAATAGTGCCCCATAGTTAGTGTCAGTGGGGGGAGGAATAGTGCCCCATATTTGGTGTCAGTGGGGGGAGGAATAGTGACCCATTGTTGGTGTCAGTGGGGGGGGGGAATAGCACCCCATCATTGGTGTCAGAGGGAGGAATAGTGCCCCATCATTGGTGTCAGTGGGAGGAATAGTGCCCCATCATCAGTATCAGTGATACCAATGATGGGGCACTATTCCTCCTGCTGACACCAATGATACTTACCTTGCTGACCACTGCTCCAGCCTGGACTCGCTCCCTCCCTCTCCCGTCCACAGCCAGCATAACTGGCTGAAGCAGCACCATCTGCACGGCACAGACACTTACTGGTCAGCTGTCTTCCTTCTCCGGCCGCTCTCCTCTTCACTCGCTCCAGACGCTCCCTCACTACATCTTCTTTGAGCTTCGCGCTGCTGCTCAGCTTCTCCTCTCCAAGCTCCGCCTCCTCGCTGGTGATTGGCCGCCTGTGTGCCTTTCCTGAGCTACAGTTCCGGCGGCCAATCACCGGCGAGGAGGCGGAGCTTGCAGAGGGAGGGACAAGCTGCCGTAGGCTGTTGAGTGATCCCGGGGGTGTGGCCAGATGACAGGGGCGGCATGTTAACCAGCCCACACATCGAGATCCAGGGAACTGAAGACACTGGACCTGCTCACCGGACAACCTCTTTACCCCTTCTCCAGTAGCGCCTCATGGACCAGATCAACGTGGGACTGGGACACGGAGTAGCAGACCCAGGTAAGACACAGCAGCCCGCCCCTGTACTAAGTGTCCCTTCCGTGGGAAAGGGGGAGGCGGCAGCGCCGCCACCGTGCCCCCCCCTAAAACGTGCCGCCCTAGGCAAACTCCTTGTTTGCCTTGCTGCAAATACGCCCCTGAGTGTAAGAAATTCTGGATTTAGACTGTATATACTAGAATGTATATGATGGTAAACCCTGGATTCCCATAAAAGTGAATGTTGTCTTAGTGGTAGCTGTCTTCACTTTTCTACCCTCTAGAAAAACACAAGTGAAATAGAATTGCTTAGCTCAGGCAAGAAAAAAAAAAAACATTTTCCATGGTACGATTCCCATTGGATTTCCATGAACTTTTATGTCGTCTCTTACAGATGTTTATGTTTTGTTAAATATACTCTGGATATTAAAGCTCACCTTTAAAGATATATCTACTGTTAACTTTGCTAAACATAACCCTGTAGTGTGAAACATCAAAAGGAAACCACAAATATTAAAAAAAAAAAGGTTTACAGTTTAATTTTAGAAACAAGTTAATTAATGATCATATGCTTTGGTGATTTTTAATTTTGCAGTTTAAAACATGACTTTTGTTTGCTGTGTTATTAAAACTTAATCCAATAAATGACAGCATGCTCAGAGTGGAGTAGTAAATCATTTCTCTATGTGCTTATTTTTGTTTGGGCCTTTCAAATTGCCTATGATCTCACCTGTTAATGAATAAATATAACCTGTTTCCTAAATGTGAATGACATAGACTGTGAACAGGAATGTAAAGCATGATGCAGGCGTTCTTGAAAATCAAGGATATAAAATGTATTTTCTCTGTGAGTTTTCTACTTAGTTAAAGATATCTGAGAGTTGCTTTTCTCTTCTTTGTGCATGTATTTGTTTTTAGCTTATTATTACCAAAATCTATATTTGCATGCACATTTATTGCAGTTTACCTGTAACCAAAAATGTTAAAGAACAACTGCAATTTTAGTAAAATATTCTAAATCTACCCCAGCAAGTCAAACTCCCACCTCAGCATCATATCCACAGCCTCCACTGCTATGTACATCCTCGGGGTAGAAACGTTTTTTAGTGAAGGCCATACCTAATAAGTGAGACCTCTTAGGGCTTGACAAGGGTCTCACTCCAAGAATGGAGACAATTGCAGTATGGGTAGATGCATACACACTTGTATCATAGAAAAGTCTGGGATCTCCACTGCTGTTACAGCACCATAGAAGGGCCCCCATAGGATAGTTTTGCTGGAGATTTCTGGCAGCCTCTCTTTATGGCACCTGACAGTGTCAATTGTGACCATACTGTAATTGATCTTAACTTAAACTATGCCTAAATCAGGAACACGTGGTATACGTAGATATAAATGGTCAGGAAAGAGCATCAATACAGGAAATAAACTCTTTAGTTTAGCTTTCTGGCAAAATCAGATTTCCTCAGTAGCTCCCAAATCAAGTGACTGCAAAACTCCAGCAAGTGTGTCTTTCCGTGTGACCGGTGGGGCCAATGCATGTGGATTATTTCCAGCTGATAATGATAATGTGTAATGTCATTATTGCTCTAAGGATTCCGTTGTTCTTTCCACAGACAGTCACACTCAGCTTTGCGTTCCCATTACCAGGTTGGAAAAACTTTTTAAAAATCTATTTAAGCTGAGATTTATTCAAAAACTGTATGCAGGAGATACAAGAAAAGTGGAAACGTGAAATTTAAAAGGTGGGTAATTGTATCTTTCCTTCTACTTTAATTTCAGTGTGGCTTGACTCTGGGAAATTTCTAAGGTTAATAACTCTACCCTGCTATGAATTCCCAGTGATGCTGATAGAAATCTTTGTCCTTGCAACTTCTAGTGGACTAAACTGAAATCTCAAAAACATGTTACCAGCTTTCTCAGCTAACCTATGGGAACTACACTGCAATGTCCTTTATATAAGATAAATGAGGAAAGTGGAAGGTGTCTAAATTGGGTGCAGGTCTGCATAGAAACCAATCAGCTTCCAGGTTTTTTTTTTTTTCAAAGCTTAACCTCCCTGGCGGTATTCCCAAGTGTAGCTCTGGGTAGAGTTTCAGTACCAAAAGTGGTAACCCCGAGCTACACTCGGGCTTACCATGCAGCGTTGCTCAGGGATTCCCTGCAGCGCTTACCTTGTCCTTCGCTCCCACGATGTCCATCCTGCAACGTCCCCGGCCATCTCCTCCGGCGGATGCCGGCATCCGGCTTCCGTGTTCCGGTCCCTGTGATGTCGGGACGTACGGGCACCGGAACCGGTGGCAAATTTGAGAGTTTTAAAAAATTAAATTTTTTTTAAAACGAATGAAACATAGTAAAACATTGCTGTCTCAAAGCATTTCACATACATTTTGTCCCTACTGCTTTGTCCTGTGCCCTACCTGCATTTTGACTGTTCTTTCTGCCTGGAAACTGGGAAAAGTCCATGGCGTCCAAAAAGCGTCCCTTTAGGTCAAAATCAGTTTTAGACCAGCTAGAGAACAGCGATAGTAAATCAGAACCACTTGCAGAATTGAGTGATAATGATTTGTGGGGAAATTCGTTATCAGACTGAAAACGATTCTGCGACTTTGCTCAGCGATGTTCAAACTTGGCGCTATATTTCAAATTTCAGTGTTTTTGGTTTGATTATATTATTGAATTAAATTTATTATTATATTATTATTTTTTATGAGTATTTATTAAATTATAATTTATGATTTCGTGTTTCAAGTTTTATCATATCCAGAATGTTTACTAGACTCTTGTTCGGACAGATTTCAGGGAGTTATTCCTAAAAATGACAGGCCTACAATAAAAAAAATACACATTTCCATGCAAAATAATGGTACCGCTTTTAGCACCAAAAATCTGAAATAATCATACGCTAGGGAGGTTAAAGTGAAACTAACCCATGACCCTGCATTCACTATATCTGTATATTGTAGGAGGAGTTTTCTTTATGCTCTATGAGGATGTGAAACTCCTGACCCTTTTGTCTGGACAGTGATGATTGGCCCTGTGCTCATCACATGCACTCTCCCAAGAAAAAAAAAAAACCTCTCTAGCAACACACACCAAACTGAGCATGTGCATTTGACTACAGGTTCAGTCTGTCTTATCAGGCGGTCATTTCAACAAGAGGAGGGGCAGAGAAGACAGGATCAAACAGCCTTTTTACACAATGCAGAGGATCAACCCCTTAGGTTCCACAGTGAGTATAACAGCAGACTTTACTGCATATACAGACTGAATTTACTGTTGTGAGTTTAGTAACACTTTAATTAAACAAGCTGAAGTTAGAAGCTGATTAGCTACCATCCACAGCCACAAGAGATTTCAAATTCTCCAGTTTTAGTAAATCTCCACCTTTATCTCTATAGAAACAATGCAATTTATTCTTGTCACCCTATGTTAGGGAGTGTGTCATAGGCAGAATCACCCTCTGAAAACTAAAGAACAAACTATGAAGCCACCACATCTAATGTAAGCTATATTATACAAAGAATGCAATTTTAGTTTTTAGGTTTAGATATAATTTTATTAATAAAGTTTTGGAACTGCATGCATGCACACAGATTTTTTATGTTTGATTTTCCTCAACAGCTTCCCTAATACCCAGACCTCAATTCAATCACGTGGGCTACTATGGCTATAGTTACACCACTAACTACACCCCTCATATTTCCGTTACACCTCATATATTTCTAGATTGTAAGCTCCAAGGAGCAGGGCCCTCCTAACCCTCTTGTATTGAACTGTATTGTTGCTGTATTGTCTCCCGTTATATTGTAAAGCGCTGAGCAAACCGTTGGCGCTATATAAATCCTGTATAATAATAATACACCAATGAAAGCATTTAACTCTCTCACACGGGCACTGCTGCAATATCTGATTGACACTAGTGTGATCCTGACCCTGGTCAAACCAGTGGTCTCTCTTCTATCAGTTTGAGTTCCACTGTGGAAGGGATTACAGGAGGATGATGACAACATGGCTCAGGTACTAGCATTAGGTTATTTAGGAACATATTAATAAATTTGTTGCTGTATGTCTGCTTTGAGTTTAGCTTTAAACTGACTGACCCTTAAGATGTATTATTTAATAGTTCAGCAGTGCAAAGCACAGTGATTCAATAAATACTAATCAGAAGGAGAATAGCACAACCAGAGAAAACATGGTTATG